TCCCTGAACATTAATCATTTACCACTGTTGAGAATCCTGCATGCTTTCCTGCTTCCCTGGCTTAACACCGTGATCTTCCAGCTCACGCTCTGGCTGCTTGGCTGTTCTGGAACATGAGAAGGTGGAATTTGAGCTGAAGGCTGCCCAACCCCTCTATGTGAACAGCAACAATCATTCCACTTTGTTTAGATTTGGCTCATTAAATAGAGTCTTTTACATTAGACTGAAGGAATACCTTTGTTTTAGGAATGTCCTTGCTTCAATAGTTTATGAAGTGCTTAATTCCAAGCACTTTTTTGATACCTGGCTGTACTTTCACATCAGCGTCTCCTAAAACATACCAGTGAAGGATCCTAGTGCTGCACAGACAACAGATAACATCTGTTATCTGTTACTCTGATCATTGCCCATTTTTAAAGTATTTTAAAATTCAGGTGTTTCAGTAAATTGCTTATCCTTGCTGCTTTGGAGATGCTTGTGCCTAAAGCCTTCCAGTTTTCTAGCTATGGGCTTCTGCATAAAAATATTTTTCAAAACACTGTTCAAAGTGGTGGGTGTTCTCCCTTGCTCTTTTTTCTAGCTTTTGGAGGACTTTATTCCAACTGCGGTATAGACTAGCTGTAACTGTGCATTGCATTTCTGTGGGTTTGATTTTGGTAATTCAGAATTTTAAAATTTACAAACCATTTTGCCTTCACATGCAAAATTAGAAAGCAAGGTCTTAGCTTGTATTGTGACCTTTTGTAAAATGGTCCTTTTCCAACTAAATTTTTTTACGTTAATCCAACTCATAGCTGCAGTCAACTTCTTCAGTAGTATTAGTCACCTAGTCACCTATATTGTGAATTATTTGTGTTTGCTCTACTGGTTTTTTCCTGCATAGTAATGCTCATTTTTCTAAGTTTCTATTTTCTTCTCCTTTTTTTTCTTTGAAACTTGTGTTAGAATCTGCGCTTTCCAGTGACTTTGAAAACTGGTATTGCTTATAGGTGTTGGTTTTGGGTGTACATTTAGACCTGCCACTTAAACTTTTCTGCAAACAAAACATGCTGTGTACTTGGGAGGCCTGTTCCTCCATCCCTTTATTTCCTCCCATCTGTAAAATGCACACAGCTCTTACTCAGTTTTGTGAAGTGCTTTGAAATATGAAGAGCTTTTCATTTGGTAAGTGTAGGCAATGTACACATGAGAGGGCTTAACTAGTCATTTCAGACTTGTGCAAAAACATGCGTGATACTGTGCAGAAAAAGGGTTTATTTGGCAGTGTCCTCATGTGCACGTCCATTGTGTGCCTCCTCCTTCAGCAGTTCCCTCCCGGCAGTGCCCTTCTTTCCTCGCCTTTTCGTACTGATCATCTTGTCTTTACCTTTGCTTTACTCTTCCACCCTCTTCCTCCTCCATGCCCATTTACTAATTGTGCCCCCTCCCGCTCCCCAACACTCCAGGCCCTTTGACGCTGCCGACCGGTGTCTCCGTGGTGGAAGCGCGTGGGACGCGTGGGCCCCGCCGAGGAGCGGCGCGGACGGACGGTGCCCCGCGTTCGTCCACGAGCGCAATGCGAAGAACGCGGGGATGCACAGCAGTGCTGGTGCCTATGCTGTCCAAACCACCATGACCAGCCTCTGAGATGTGGGCCTTGCTGGAGTTTGGGACTGCTTCCCAGCAGAGCCTGGGAAATTGCCTCTTGAGCAGTCTCTGAGATAAGAACAACTGACCCAGGGCTGACTGTAGAGGGAGGGCAAAGCTTTATGACAAAGGCTCTGCATATTGTGCTGTTGGTGTTTAGTCTTCAAAGAAAAAAGAGCGTATAGACCAGAAGCCACACGTCACTCTTACATTAGAAACTATATATTTATCTATCTATATTTATATCTAGATAGATCCTTTAAATTATGTTAAGGTTTTCCTTAAGCTTGAAAGATTTACTTTTTTTTTAACTGGGTTGATCTTTGAAAACCATGCAGAAAGTCACATTTGTTAAAAAACTACACATGAATCTAGGGGGTTATAATGTGGTTTCAAAAATCTAAGAGAAAAAGAGGATGTAACTGCCCCTCCTTTTGAACTGTGGTTATATGAAAATATCTAAGGTACGTGGTTGATCTGAAAACTAACCTTTTTTTTTTTTTCCCAGT